GTTAACCTGAAAAAAAAAAAAAGCACCAGCAGGAGCTAGGGGCAACCTGAGGTCACTTCCGCCAAATTTAATGCTGAAATAGGATTTTGGTAAAGCAAATCAATGATTTATGTTCAAACTAATACTGTGTAAGGCTATACGGTAACATAATATTGAAACACCAGTTTTCGTACAATCACCGAAGTTAAGCAACGTCGAGCCTGATCGGTACCTAGATGAGTGACCGCTTGGGAATACCAAGTGCTGTAAGCTTGAATGTGCGGATGGTGTAATGGATAAGGGCTCGGAATTATAAGCGTAGAGCTGAGTTCATATTCCGGCTGGGTTCGATATATTGATTTACGCGAAAATACCTTTTGGAAAGGTATGACTTCCCCCCATCTCCCTCCAGCTATGGGTTAATTAGTAAAACTTGCATCACTAAAACCATTATTTTCCAAAAAAAAAAAAAAAAAAAAAGAAAGTGCAAAATATTTAAATCAAAAAGCATTAAATCTTTTTTTATTATAAAACGCAGATTGTGTGTGTGTGCGTGTGTGTCTGTACGTTTATATATTGAATCGGATTTCCTACATTTTTCAAACCGATTTCAACAAAACTTCACAGGACTACGTAAAATTACCTTGTGGTGGTTCTGACAGCGCCAAAATTGGAAAAACACAATTCATTTTTGCACAAAATCAATTTGAAAACACGATAAAACACGATTCTGTCGCCAGAATGAAAGGGGGACAACTCATATCGAATATATAAAGTTATTTTTTGAAATATTATAAAACCCAGGTTGTTCCTAAATTTTAAACCGATTTGTTTTTTTTTGGCAGGTATTTTTCTTATTGTCTTGCACACTTTTTTTTTAAAAAACATTCAGAATGCTTTAAAATTCCATTTACAAGACAATTGTTTATAATAAAATTCTATTCAATCGGTAGACTCATAACAATTGAAAACAATGCTTTTGTTTGAGTTTGGGTTTTGACAATTCGTAAAAAAAAAAAAAAAAAAATAATTAAAGACATGCGTGTCCGTCAACCTTAAACAATAATCTTTGTCAATTTTATTTTTCAGTCGTTATGATGGTCGATACTTGATCTATCTCTTACTGTTACATCCACGGGCAATGCAGGGCTCTACTGCTAGTAACCCATAGATGTGTTGATATGCCGCTAAACACAAACAGCCAACGAAGTAGAGAGATCTAAATTAAACAGCCCAACAAAAGTTAACATGTAGTTTAATTAATCAGCCTAACCCATTATCCCCAAAGGCATGTGTTAGGGAGGGTTAAAACATATATTAAAATGAACCGCAAGGATCTGGTGACATTTCCCACTTTTGAACCCGTGTGGTTGCGATGCGTGTGGTTATTATAAAATAATTTCTCATGTGTTTGTATATCATTTTTTCTTTCCTGGACATAAATTATATATACTTGGTGGCGTGAGCGTGGATGTGCGGGTGGTGTAATTATTACTGTCACTGGATTGTTAATCGTAAAGCCGGGTTCAAATTCTCGTTAGCTTCGTCATATTTACTTACGCGCAAATAACTTGTATTTCTAAACCATTATAAAAAAAAAAAAGAGAAATCTTATAATCTAAAAATATTTTCTGGCTTTAAATAACCTGCAAAGGGTAGATAAGCCATAGAAAACGAATCAATCCGTCAATACTGATAAACTCTCTAGAGCTATCTTGTTTTTTTTTGTTTGTTTTTTTTTTTTTTTTATCTGGGATTTACCAATATTCTAAAATGAAACCAAGTCACAGTCGGGGATGCCACCTCCCAGGGTTTAATGCCGGGCTGAGATTATTTTCCGCCTCCAAAGGCGTACACAAAAGAGGAATTGTTGAGGGGATTTGAAGATTTTCCCACGGCACTGCTGAGAAAAAGCAACTAAGCTGACCTTTCATCGCATCTGTTGCGTGGTGGGTGCAGCAGTTAAATACATATCTTGTTTTTTTTTCATTTTTCATGAATTTAAAAAATTGTAATTTATGAGCATCTTGTATAAAGGCAAAAAAGAAAGTCTTGTCGCGTTTGAAGATAGAAATCGAAATTCACTAATCTATTATAGTATATACACACACACACATATATATATATATATATATATATATATTATGAAATGTGTGACGTCATTTGTTTACATTTCATACGCCTTGAGCTGATATGAAAGTACGTGAGAGATTCATGGAAGATTGAAGTTCAAATACAATAAAATTCGACCTTGTTATAACCGAACGCTCCACTGTGGCCAAATCGGTAAAGGCACGTCAAGCTAAATGACGGTTCCGTATAGAATACAGGTTCGGATCCTGTCGGAGGACGCATATTTTCTATGAAAATTTCTCGAACATTCAGGCCAGTAAATGTTTAATACTGTTTATTATAAACAGAGCATTTTTTTAAAAATATTTGTATCTATAAGAAAAAAAATGTATAAACATAAAAATGTCTTAAAATATATATATATATATTTAAAATTGTTTACTTGGGCAGCAATCCCTCTTTTATGCAAGTTTCCTTTAAAACGACTGACGAGGTGTGGTGGTTGAGATTTTTATATAATTTCTCATGTGTTTGTATATCATTTTTTCTTTCCTGGACATAAATTATATAAAAATTGTTCGAATGTATTCCAAGCGCTTTCGGCTATACATTTAGCCATTATGTAGGATGAATTTTATTTTACCTTTAACTGAATATATGGATAGTTTTATGTATGTATCTAAAGTTATAGTAATGTTTTATTTTCCAAGCACAGTCTGAATATTGTGACCATGTTTATAGTTGATATTATTGAGTATTGGCTTTTTATTTTAATTAATAATACTTCCATTATTTTTAGCCTTTTTGTACATGTGGATGATGATATTATATTTATTTTATCAACGTGCATCTTACGGATAGAATTTACATGTCCCTTAAGGAGACGTGTTCCTGACCAATTGAAATTTGTAAATAATTATATTGGATATACTACAACATGTTTAACAAGAAGACTCTCATTTTATCACCCTGACCATAGCTTTATTAGGTCTCATTTTAATACACATGAAGACCTACCAAACTCTATCTGTCACAGACTTGTTGATAATACAAATATAATAGCCTCATCCACGTGTAAAAATAAGGCTAAAAATAATGGAAGCATTATTAATAAAAAAGAAAAACGTTTAAATAACTTCATGCCAGTGGAAAACGTGAGCCCAAGAAGTTGCAAAGAATTGTTCTTCTGGACCTCTCCATACTGATGGCAGTCAGAAAAAAAGTATCTATGGAAATGAAATTCCTGAAGCATATGATCAAAACAAGAAAATTGTAGACAAAAACTGCATAACATAATCTTATATTTGTATTGTATATTGTTACAGGACTTCTCTTCATCAGCTAAAGTAACTATAATCAAGATGCATTTTCTCTTGGAAACATCATAAAGAAATACACAAATCCAGTTGATAAAAACGAAAAAAATTAAATCATTTATTATAAAAATTTCTTAGCTAACCTTTTGCCAAAAAAAAAAAAAAAAATAATTCACCTGCAAGATCTAAATTACAGAGAACCAATATTCATTAATTACATTATTCGGACTATTGTAAAATTTTCATCTTTGTCGCCATATTTGTCACAACGTTTATAAATGTATACTCTCCGGCCTTCTTCAATTTTTCAATTTCAGAAAAATTGTTATATTGGCTTATTTAATTCTTTTTTCAAATTTTATCCATTTTATCGTTTGATGGTTGTTGTGCCATGTCGCATAATGGATGTTTTTTTCCTTGAATTCTCTTCTGATAATTTTCTTGATATTTTAAAAAATGACTTTTAACATAAATTAAATTTATGAATATTTACAAAAATGAAGAAAATAATTCCAAAGAAATTAATTTTTTTGAAGAAAAAATGGACAAAAACGAAAAGAATAAATATGGCGACAAAGATGAGGACAATAGTCCGAATAATATAAATAATGTACATTTAATATCATCTTTTAAATATAGACAGACTCAGAACCAATATTATTTACGAATCTCCATGTCTCTTAAGAAGCTTTGTTCCTGACCAATCGAAATTTGTAAATAATTATATTGGATATACTACTACATGTTTAACAAGAAGACTCACGTTACATCTCTCTGACCATAGCTCTATTATGTCTCATCTAAATAAACATGGAGACCTACCAAACTCTATCCGTGACATACTCGTTAAATAGTAGAGCAGACTGGGTTCTTTAGCTTTGATTGGTAAACAGTCTAGAAGAAGGGCAGCTCTGAATTAAAAATCGGTTGTGCTTAGTAACTCCATCGTTGAAAAAGCTATTTGCTACAGAAAGCTTAGCAGTAACGGCTAGAGTATTGAGATTGTGGTCTCGTACTCGAAAAGGTAGTGTACGGGACCACAATGAGTGGTAGAAATAAAACTAATAAAAATTGTCTATTTTTTTTTTACTTTTGTTTTTCTTTTTTGCAAACGAAACCCTCACTGAATGTATTTGTTTTTAACAGGGCAAGACGAAAATCTGTGATCACGTGGAGATGAAAATGGTATTGTTTTAGATATGGCAATAGATTCCAGCTTATTTCCGAGTGTGCCTGTCTGCTAGTGAAATCTAGACAATCCCCGTGGCAGACGCCTGTTCAGGCATATTTATGTTTGTTCAATACCCGCAGAACACACCTGTGCTTTATACTGCATCTATATCTTAGGATCTTAGTTTGCAGTTTCATATATTTCCCAAGGGTGTTTGCGCCTCAGTGAATGGTTTTCAGACACTTTTCTGTTGCGATAACAGGAAAAGGTCAGTAACAAATCATTTTCCTGACAAATTAAAAAATGCTGAGATTCGAACTCGGATCTCATAGTCGGAAGCGAACATTCTAACCACTCCGTTTTTGATTGATCGACTTTTTTAACGGCTCATCAAACTTTTGCAGAAGACAACCGAGTTCCTTTTATAAGCTGTTGTCCATTACCCCACCCATACACCCTAGCTTACAGAACCTGATTTTCCGAAATGATCACTCATCTAGGTATTGACGAAACCTGACATTGCTTAACTTCGGTGATCTGATGAGAACCGGTGTTTCAACATGATATGGTCGTAAGTTTGCTATGTCTAGCGAAAGATAATCTGACGGAAACTATCCCTCTCTCAGTTTTGAATTCAGAGTTTTTGATCACCCTAGACTGGTTACCACCTCAAGATTTAACCCGTACCGAGGAGGAGAAGAGTTCGTCCAATACAAGGCCCAAAGGCCACTCAAAGTAGAGGATTATTGAGTTATCCATTACACCACCAGCACAAGCATGTTTGCAGCATCTCATATGCCTAAGCGGTCACCCATCTAGGCATTGACCAGAATCGACTTTGCTTAACTTTGGTGAGCGCACGGTGTTTCAACGTGATATGGCCGTAATCCGTTTGAATCACTCGGTTTATGATACATACAAAAATTCTGCTTCATATAAGTAAAGAGCACTGAACTGTTACGTTATATCAGACCTCCTAATTAGCAATGAATGCTGGACATTCTCCTCGCAGATAAAGAAGAGACTTGAAACAAGAGAAATTTAGTTATACAGAGAGATGCCATGGACCGTGAGCAACGACGGGGTTTTAGAGAAAATGGAAAAGGTAACTTATATTTAACATCAGAAAAGAACAGTTGAAATTTCTAGAGGAAAGAGGGCTTGGAAAATCTGATACTCCCAGGGCAAAATGAAGGCAAGATGGACAGAGGAAAACAACACATAACCTACTTGACGAGCTTGAGTAAATGGCGTGCGGAACAGGGTTTAGGAGAAATAACAAAAAGACAAAATGTATTAAGGTCTATGAAGGACAGGAAAGTGTGGAGAATCATGACCGCCTACCTTTTGATGGTATCAGTCAGTTATGTGCCATGTGTGATACACGCGTAGGCGATCATGTATCTTTCGATACATGACTGACGAGGCAGATTTTTTTTCCCGCAGTAAGTTGCCATTTCTTTTTGCGGTAGACCAGTTGCCATCCAAGGCTATAGAACCCGGTCTCTCGTGATATTTACCCATAGCTGGACGGAGAAGAAGAGGATTCATACCTTTCCCAAGGGTATTAGCACGTAAGTAAATGTAATGGATTCGATTGGAATTCGAACTCAGTTCTCCGATTCCTCAACCAAAACCGCTATCCATTACTCCACCCTGCCTTCTAAGTCAGTTACGTGCCATACGTGATACACACGTAGGCGATCATGTATCTTTCGATGCATGACTGACGAGGCAGATTTTTTTCCCGCAGTAATTTGTCATTTCTTTCTGCGGTAGACCAGTTGACATTAGGCTATAGAACTCGGTCACTCGTGATATTTACCCATAGCTGGAGGGAAAAGCAGAGGATTCATACCTTTCCCAAGGGTATTAGCACGTAAGCGAATGTAATGGATTTGACCGGAATTCGAACTCGGCTCTCCGATTCCTCAACTCGAGCCGCTATCCATTATTCTACTTAAAGAAGAAGAAATGGGTGTAGATCATTCAGCGCCATTTGCACCAGATTTCTGTACATCTGATAGTTTTCTAGATTCTATTTTCTCATAAATACCGCAAAGATTTTTTTTTACAATAAAATTGGCTTTTTTTTATAAGGTTACCTTTGTTTTTTTCTCATTGTTAAGATTATGCGCAGAAAATGTTGAGTTATATCTAAAATGCCTTCATTACCCAACTCAAAATCGCATTTTTATCCAAATCGAAGAAATTTCCTTTAGTCTGAGTACCCCTGATATGAATAAAAAGAACGGGCGGGAAGAGCGATCAAGGTGAAAGTATGGACATAGGAAAAGCTTGTTGCCTGGTTATTAAGAATCTAATAACGAAAAGATGAAAAACAGGCAGGCAAGCGTAAAAAAATGCCATACATAAAAAATCTTTGTCTATATTTTTGAGATGAGGTAGCGTAAGTATTTACGTTATTTACATCGTTCTGTCTGCTGTCCTTATCTTTATTGACATATTCACGACGTTTCGGCCGTTGTACGCTCCGGCCTTCTTCAGGTGAATTTTGAACTGAACCCTTTCTTTAGTCCACGCTGTTCTAATTCCACGCGCCATGTCTTTTCTCCGTATCTCAGTTAGTAACTCTACACTACAAGTGTTTGTTCCCTCTGCTGTTGCCTCAAAACTCTTTGGGTCAAGTCACTCGCTGGATTACTTCAAGCAACGCCTTTACCCACTGGACTATGAGTACTAAAAATCTTTCTTGAAAATATATAACAAAAAAAGCTCAGAGAGGTGATACAAGTAAATTCTATAACAGTTTCTTCTCTCGCACTTTTCGCATGTGGAACTCTCCTCTGGCTTCTTGTTTTCCAGTCAAGCGATCCCCCATCTAAGTACTGACCAGGCTCGACCTAGGGTTTATTGGAAAATACAAGTAAATAAATAGAGTTTTCTTTAAATATATCAGAACACTTCAATATTGCTTCAGTTAATGTTGGGGCGCACCCACCTTCTCATCAGAATGGACTGATCTCTCTACTACTAAGAGGACAGTTCTATAGAGTTCTGGGAAGATCAGGTGACCATCACACTTCCGTCTCTCTACCGGAAGATACAGTTGGACTCTATATTCTTTCTGATTGTTACTGACTAACCTGCGTTCGTTTGACTACTAATCTCTCTGTTGTAAATACCTCTTCAGATATACCAGTATTTTTCCCTACGTATGTGTTTGTCCTTATTTCAATACACGCACGGGGAAACACTCAACATCTCAACAGTTAGTTACACACAACACATAGCCGATGCTCAATTTCTGTGTTCTAAAAGATACTTCTTGTTTCCATAAACTTCTTTTGCTAGACAAGGATACTAACATGACTTGATGTTTTCATTTTTATACTTTGTACAGACAAACCTCTCATCTACGGACTCCCTCCAATTAACTGACTTTCGATGCAATGGACAAAATCTGCGGGTAAAATTTTAAAAAAAAGTTATGCATGAAAAAAAAATCTTCCAAATCATCAGCGATGTATTTCAAAATTTACGGGCTTAGCGGAACGAGTCGTATTATTTCTCAAAGTGACCGCTTGGCGGCGGTGGTGGGTCCTTCAATTGTAAACAAAGACGAGTGTACAGTATATAAAGTACGATACATTAGCGCGTGCGTGAGAAAGTAGCTGTGAGAAATCTATCATTTTTTATTGTTTTGATTAATATATCTATATTAAACATGTATTTATTTATGCTATATATACATGTTTATAGTATTTACATTATGATCATAACTACTGGTTGTTACTATAGTGGTTTTATAACATAAAAAAAAACAATCCCACCCCATCTACGGACAATAGGCTTTAAGGAACCATCCATACCTACTATTAGTCCTTTGATGAGAGGTTTGTTTGTACTGTAATTCTGCTGGACCAGAGTGTCTAATTTGGCCTGTGTGAACCAGGATACATGTGCTTTCAATTATAAAACCAGGGAGGAGTGTGAACCGGATAATAAGCAAACGTATCTACTCTAATTGGAAAACATAAATAAACAAATACAGTTTTATTTAAAGATATCAGAACACTTCAACATGGTCGAATTTGGTTGCATGCAACACATCTAGATGATTATCAATTTTTGTGTTCTAAAAGACACTTCCTGTTTCCATAAAATATAGATATAGAGAATAACACGACTTAGCGTTTTTATTTGTATACTTTGTACTACAATTGGTTGGTTGGTTGATTTTTGTTTAGCGGCATTATCTACTTCTATGAGTTATTGAATGCCGAAATCTAAATCTTTTGTACATCATTTCAATCTTTCACGTACAGATATTTTGTACATAATTTCATAGTTTCAGAGTAAAGGTATTGTTTTTAGATGCATATTTTTGTAGATTATAAAATGTATTATTGGTAATTGTACTATAAAAATGTATTTCTATATATTTTTTTAGTGTTGCACTGATTGTCATTTTGCTGTAAAAATGTATTGTTAGTCATTTTATTATAAAAATGTACTGTTGATTTTGATTTTTTTAGCGGGTGGGTGGCTATGTGCCCATAGCTCAGACCTAACAGGGGCTGCTAACCCGGATCAGGGTGGAACTGAAAAACAGCTATTAAGAGTTGGTTCCACGTTCCTCAAAACTCCCAATCTCCCGATCAGAGGCTTTGCTGCCGGATGTAGTTTATCGTCATGCCCAGGATACTGTACTGTAATTCTTTTGGGCCAGAGTGTCTGATTTGGTTTCTATTTCTCTTTCTCTTGCGGTATTGTCATTTTCAATAAAAGGCATGAATCAATAAGCACTTTTAACGTGTGTTGATGTATCTTAACGTGTTTGTTTGTTTAACGGCATATCAACTCTTCATGGGTCATTTAACGCCGAAATTTTATTCTCTCGTGAACTTTTTTTTCAAAAATATATTGCTGATAATTATTTTTTTTACTATGAAAATGGTAATGTTTTTCTAATGTATTTTAATATTTTGACCCTAGTTTAGGGGTTCACTATTTGCCTACCTCAGGTTAGGGTGGACCAAGGAACAACAACAGTTAAGAGGTGGTTAAACGCTCCTCAGAACTTCAAGATCAGAGGCCTTGCTGCCGGATGTAGTTTATCGTCATACCTAGGATAAAATAAACTGTAAAAGTTTGGAATATAATTTATGGGAACGCTGTATATCATTAAATACGGGAATTGATTTTTCAGCTTTTTCTTCAGGTCACCCAAGTCTTTTTAGATCTTTAGATCACCCAAAAGGTCTTTAGATCTTTTTAGATCTTTAGATCACCCAAGTCTTTTTAGATCTTTAGATCACCCAAGTCTTTTTAGATCTTTAGATCACCCAAAAGATCTTTAGATCTTTTTAGATCTTTAGATCACCCAAGTCTTTTTGGATCTTTAGATCACCCAAGTCTTTTTAGATCTTTAGATCACCCAAGTCTTTTTCGACCTTTAGATCACCCAAAAGGTCTTTAGATCTTTCGATCACCCAAAAGGTCTTTAGATCTTTTTAGATCTTTAGATCACCCAAGTCTTTTTAGATCTTTAGATCACCCAAAAGGTCTTTAGATCTTTTTAGATCTTTAGATCACCCAAGTCTTTTTAGAT